CAACCGCAAAACTAGCACCGTCAAGTTTGTAATGCTGGCCGTCACTGGAAAGAAGGCACGACACGTTATCAAGTGATACATGCACTAACTAGTGCGGTTCCACTTGACCAACTGTGGCGTCGTCTGCTTTCTAGGCGGCTATTGTTTCACAATTAAGAGCGGCGGACACATCGACGATGACACTCCCATCGATGTCATAAGTAACTCTAAAGTTGGCCTAAAAGCGTTTCGCCCTTCGTCTCAGGCTTTCGGTGGTTCCACCTCCGGCAAGCTCGGCCGCCGCCACTCCGACAACATCAGCATCTGTGTCCCATAATTTGTCGCAAATATTTGCTGGGGAACGTTCGTCTTAGTTTAAATTTATTTAAGCATGTCGTGATGTGCTGCCTGTACAGAGGATGTCACCTAGGAGGAGTTCAAGTAGACCTGCCGAAGTAATCCAGGATCCTACTGTTTTGCACCTTTAGTAACAAGCTCGGTATGTATACAGGAAACTGATAGAACATCATTTTTGATCGGGAGTTCAGCTTTTTCATCTGGAATCCAGGGCCTGTTCCGCTTCCCGTCCTGCATGTCCCACAAAAAAATCTTTTATAAGCTTGTGTAGACGCCGTATAGTATTTTTTTGGCGGCCAGCAATGTCTTGCGACGTACAAAAAAACTTTGGCAAAGCAACCGCGCGAACGAGGAGCGCTCTCTGTTCGACATAATGCGTCTCCTGGCGCGCCAGTGCAAGTCTTGCTTAGACCGACTGAAAACATTTATCCCAGTCAATGATGGACGCATCAACTTGCCAACTTTTATACCAAGATAGCGGCATGTGTCGGTGTGCTGCAGTAAGGTTAGGCCGTGCGTGTGCTCTGCAACCATTGTTTCATGTCGCCTAACAACTACAGAAAAAGCTTACACTGCCGTATTTTCAGCTGCGAAAGCGCTGCTAGCATCCGAGTCACTCTAAACTAAATTATAAAGTGAGTAGAATCACACGTATGAAGCGCCAAATTAATGACGGTGGCTCGTAGCTACTTCTACTTATTATGTGTCAAAAGCCCCCAACATCACGGTACTGCTTAACATTTGACATCGGTTTCGTATCTAGACCGTTAAGAGAGGCGTTTTGCATTTTTCGATGCAAGATTCTGGCCATAATTCACTACTATGTCTCCTTGTTTACCGTTACACCTGATAAAGTTGGGAAATAACATTGTCATCCGATCTAGCCTGATGCAAGCTGCTGGCTATCTTATGTGCAGCGGAAAATGTACTAGCAGCAAACTTCCCAATTGTATACCGCTGTTTAAGAAGCGTCTTAAGCTTCAGCTGAAAGTAAGGCTCGTTTAGTCTTTTTGGGCTTCATTAATTTCATATAAATATCAACTTCAGTCCGGCATGTCAAAGGTCGGATTGACGGCTCATGCTTGCCAAGCACGTTTGTGAGGCTTGAATGTCCTATATTCGAAGGTCATAACTTTGGCTGGTGTAACACCCAATAGATGATGATGATTGCATGACCGTCTATTTGCAAACAATTATGCACAAGATGTCTGAAAACTTCTAAGCCAGGACAGCAGCTCCGGAATCGGTGGCTGGTCGTAGCTTTCCCCTGAATATATCGACCCGTCTCGAGGTTCGAGAGTGAAGAGGTCGATACATGTATGCATGATAGCCCCAGCAACAGCTGTGTCGGGACCGCGATGTTCGCGTTTCGCTACCGCGTTAAGATGCCTGATGCCGACCTCCCAAAAACGCTCAGCGCTCTGAAGAGCCGCCGTCTGCTTCCCTCGAAAGACAGCGTCGTTCCGCTCACACCATAAGTGAGTCAGACAGATGCTGCTCATGATTAACAAAAGACGGTCCCAAACCGCGACGCCTGTCTCGGAGTCCTCCGGGAGCTTATGATGTATCCGAAGACGTTGCCTGGCCGGTAAGGCCGGAGCTTGACGATTCATACCAGCGAGAGGGGTGTTCGAAAGAGCAGGCCGTCCGTCTCGGACACCAGTCCAATGTCCGATAATTTTGGTCCGACAAGCTTGGGCTTTAGCGCATTCCCAAAAGATGTGAGCCGACGTTTCTTTGAGACCCTATAACACCCAATAGATGTCCTTGATTGCACCTATCCTTGCCGATCAATGCGTAAGCGGAAATAATATTAAGTTGTGAAGGACAATGAACCTCATCTGAGTACTTCTGCGAAACGTCTACTTACTGCTAAAGTAGGAAGCAAACTTTACGTATTTTGGCTGACAAATGTCAACGACCTTTTTACGATCTTTACACGACAATTGCTCGCCGTGACGGTTAAGGCAATAGCAACCCACACTCGATAAAGCATGCCATAAATGATGAGGTACAATTAGCTATTACCGCACTGTAAATTGGATGACAGCGCGGTTTTGCTGCAGCAGGTCTGACAATAGTGACACGAACGAGCAGTAAATGTGGAAGCGAAGCAGTACGAGGACCTATAGGAGGTTGCGCTCTAAGTGCCTTCCTTATTCGCAATACAGTCATTATTCCGGTATCCTACATTACAGTCGAAAGCAGGGGGCTCACCTGTCCTACATTGGCTATCTAAGGACAAAATAGGACATCGTCCTACATCGCAGCAGCCGGTCATGGAGGCCAGCGAAGAAGCACAGCACACACCTGGCCAAGGGGTCAGTAAAAAATCAGGGGCCGTTGTTTTTCTCACGAATCATTCAATGTATTCACGGTCAGTAGCTGAGAGTAGCTGCTGACGTCATCAGTGTGCAAGATCGCGAATGAGGGCACCAAGGGTTGCGAGATCAACGCGACTTCGCGGTACATCGTGCCAAGCAAGCTGCAGCTTTCTACGAACCCTCCAACATCACAGCGAACATTGCTGCACGAGGCTGTAAACCACATGCAGCCTTGTGCAACATGTTCACTGTAATTTCTACTCTCGCTGACGTCATAAGCTGATGGTGCGGTGAACAGGCAGCAGGGCGCGTCGAGACGCTCTGCAGTGTGTGGCTAGGAGGGACACGTAGGCATCTACCACGAGAGAGCCGCTGCTGCTATCGAGAAAGCACCTGGGGAAAGCAAAGGGGAAACTGAACGTCGCCACTTGTGTGCCACACACGTCAATACCGCGAACGCACATGTTTGTGCTGCGACGTTCGGTTCAATGTTCGTGTGTCTTAAAGCACACGAGTTTCGAGAAAAGGATTGACGCGTATAGGGCGTGACGGACACTGGTAGATTGTGTGCATTTGAATGGAGCAAAAGAGCCTATGCGACCGCCGCATCTGGCAAACGAAGCAGCCAGATGTTGAACAAGAAATGTATCGCTGTTGGTGTGACGCAGTTCGTCGTCACCTTTTTTAACTTGTTATAGAGCCTTATTGCGTCGCCATGTACAGCGACGATGTCAACAAGCGACGACGATCTGCGACTGTACGAGCTCGATCGTAACGTCTGCAATCTCTGGTTGCAAGGGGGTCTGCTGGCCTCGTCTTTGTGGGGTTCCACTAAAGTTTAACAATCGTGAAACGTGTGGTCCGCGAGACCCGTGTCAGAGAAGAGCAGGGTCTCGACGCGGCTGTATAGCTCGTGCTACCGGGGACGGACGACTCCAGATTAGAGGCAGCAGCCTAAGATGTGGTGCCGCAACAAGCCGAATGCGCCGGTCAAGGACGAGCCCCTTTGTCTCCACACGCGTCTATCTTCACACGCCTATGTCTTTATCTATAGTCGATTGTAGTTTGCACGTAAGCGCTTGGGCTTGACCGTGGCAGCACCTTTGTCGATCTTCTACGCTTGCTTAGTGAACAACGACCACCTCTCTCGACAATCAACGTCCCACGTGACATACAACAACAACTTGTACAAACCCAGAGGGTCGCTTGGCGTCCCATGAACACCCGATACAAACTCAGTTTCAACCGTGACCAACGTTGCGACGGACATCTGCCGTTCGCAAGGCACGCACGTCAATTTATTAGCAATAGATATTGTCACTCGTCGACGTCCACTCGTTGTGTCCTCAGCTGGATATTGGGCGCCAGTAGTGTCGGTCACTCACTGTTTACATTCTTGTTACCGTATCGGTTCTAGCATGGCTGTTGCGGAGAGAAACAGTTAGTGCTCTGCCAGCATCAGGTAGTAGAGAGCTGTGAGTGCAATGGCAGAAACACACGCTGGACAATGTACATCTCCCGCGGCAAAAGACATATCATGACAGCATTTGCCGTATTGGATGCAGCATCCGTTTGAATAAGGTACACAGTGTGCGTCTTGTCAAGTTACAAATGGTCCAAGAAACGGCTCTTACGTCGTGACAACGGTCGTCGACCGCACCACTGCGGGAGAATCGCCTGTCGACGTGCGCACTGGCTGCGCGCGATGTGCGATATGTGTTCGAACTGCGATGAGGCGATCAAGCAGGAAAGTGCCAACACGCGTTCGCAGCAATGGCTTCCACAGCTTTGTCTAGCGTGGACAAGTGTAGGCACGTGTAGAAGCTTTCTTCGCAAGTGACAACTTACTGCGTGTAAATATTGTAGCAGAAGTGGCGGAGTGAACTTGTAGGTCCTGCGAGGCGAAGTCGCAAGGTGAATGACTTACCAGACACGTTGACGGGCTTGGGGCCTGTGCAAACAGAGCGATCGTATAAAACGAACATACATATATGTATATTAAGGTATACGGGCGCTGCGGCATCAAAGGTGCTGCGCTCTACTGTTCTCTCACTCACGCGCTGCCTCGTCGAGATGCACGGGCCAGTCAGTCATCTACGGGTCGCTATGCACCACCGTAACAGGGTCCCCCATCATCACTCTGGGCGACTGAAAGCTGTGTTTCGTTCACACACACACTGTCCAATTGTCGGTCCATTACGATCAAAAGAAGTACAAAGCTACCAACGTAATAAGACATGGCCGGAAACAGATGATAATGATGATCGTGACGACAACCAACACCTCGTCCCGACCCCAACGTCGTCATTGTAACCACAAGCCCCCTGTGCAGCCCCTTGTCTAGAGCACAGAGTTCTTGTCGTCGATCGTGAAAATCTCGCCCGGCAGCTTGTCGTCGTCTTTCCGTCGCTTCATATACACAGCGCCAAGCAACGCAATGCAGGCACAGGCCCCGACGCCCGCAACGATTGGGATCGTCCCCGACGAGCTCTGCTTTTCCTCGCTCTCGTCCACCGGATCGCCGCTGGCGAACTTGACCTCTTGCACGCTAAAGCCCTTTTCCACTGCCGGGGGCTTCGGCGCGCGGTCGTCGGTCGCCTCGGGGCTGCCACCCAACCGGCGCTTCGGGCGGCGTTGTGGTTCGAGCGGCGGTTCCTCTTCCGCTGCGTTGGCCGCGTGAAATAGTGCTACGACGCACAGCATCGCAACGGCAAAGAGTGCTTTGAAATGCATGGGGAGTTTCTTCGTTTGTTCGATCACTGAGTGAGTGGAGTGTGCGTGACAACGGGTCTGCTTGATTGGGAATGAGGTGGAGCGATGATGATGTCCCACCTATGAGGCGTCGAAATGAAGAATGGCCACTTCGCCGCTATAGACAGACCGAGAGAGAGAGAGAGAGAGAGAGAGAGAGTGGACTTTCAGAACGTTCAGTCCGTCAAAGCACGAAGAGTGATCATGGGCTGGGACGAGAGAGACGAGCGAGACCGGCCACGTCGATCATAAAAAGCCGGTGGGAAGGCTGCTGCCCCCGTGTCTCGTTTTAGCCGCAATCTGCGACGTTTTGCACGCGCGCAAGCAGGATTTACGCAAACCAGGTAACCAGGTGGTCGGGCCATCCGATTTAGCGTAAAACGGACGTGACCTCGTCGAACGTAAAACTTTCGGAACGGTCGTCCCAAGCGCCTTCGTCCCCTAAAGTTCGCACAAAGGTATGATTTATGAGCGCCACTCAGACATTACCGATGGGGAAGCAGCTGAGCGCTCCGTTGCAAATCGATTTCGTATGCAACGTCGTGCGCGTGAGTGTACCAGCTGATGCGGTTCCTACGCTTGGGACAACCCCAGGTTTTGTATCGCCGCGACGTCCCGAGCGGTCGTTGCCACGAGCGATGAGCTAGTAACGGTATCGCTGGAACGGCCGGAACGCGCGATGTATGCCCCTGTAAGCTTATTCACGAGACTCGATGGTAGCAGTCATGCACAGAGTTCCTCGACATGGTAGCAATGGCTCGGAATGACCGGCAGACGTGAACGCACGTAGTCGAGTCAGTCTGGACGCGTGACGAGAGCACTTGCGCCATGTACTGGTTCAGTTGAGAAGCAGCTAGACAATGCAGCTGATATTCGAGCGTATCCGCTGGGATGTGTGGCTGGCGTGCGGCATGCGCTCGACGTCTGTGGTCAAGATTCGACAAGCAGTTCTTTTTCCTTCTTCGTCACCACAACATTTGCATGGGGGTGTGTAGGGGTGCCCCTTCTTACCGCGCCGGGTCTAGTAGCTCGAGATCATCAACGCCACAAAGTGTGCGACTGGAAGCCGTGTTTCGCGCAGCTTCCGTACGCCCATCTCCTGCCGTAAGCTTTACAACATGATGTTGCAAATATCTTTGGTCGACGAGAGACTTTGCCTCGATTACAAGCGGAGCGACACACGACAGATTTTATGGTCCCCTCCCTTCCGAAGAAGATAGGCCATATAGTAACGTCGTTGGTTGTTGGGGCATCGGCCACGGCAACGCCCACTGGGAAGGTGCATCGCACACCAGCGACGATCGCAGCAACACAACGGTCTTGCTTTGTAGAGGGTGATCTCGTCGAGGGTGCCAACGTCTGAAATATTGATGCCATGACGGTATTTGCTACTTATCTATCGCTGTCGCTGTTCTGCGTGGTGCGGTTCAGCAGCAACGTGTGAGTTCAGTTTAGTGAGCTCGTACTGTCAACTCGGTCAGCAGCAACGTGTGAGTTCAGTTTAGTGAGCTCGTACTGTCAACTCGGTCAGCAGCTCGCGCTGGCGGTGTGACGATTGGTGGCACTTGAAGGGGTCCGTAGTAAAAAACATGGTGATACAGGAATAGCAGATCCCGTCTGCGACCTCGAAGAGGGTTTTGCTAGGCCACTACTTAGGCAAAGCGACTGTACTTGATGTGGCCGCCCATTCGTACGCCCTTGAGCGACTTGGAGCGATATTCCACACATACACCACTTGCGAAGCCCGTTTTTACGGCTGAGAGACATTGTATGCGATGCCATGTATGCTTCCTTTGCGCACATTGGGAAAGTGTTGGGTGTGTGTCGAAAGACCTTTTGCAATTCAAGTGCGGTGAACACTATTAACAAATTTGTCACGGGTACGCCTTGTCCTTGAAGTGGGCGGACCAGTCCGCCTTGCCCAGAATGACTAGGCGGATTGGCCTTTACCTTCACGATGCAACAGTCCGACGATGCGACCACCACAGGACCGCCTGGGCACGGGATGACTGCTTGCAAGAATAGGAATGGCACAACCAGGTCGACCATTGCTTTCAAATTTTTGCGCGCAGATCGTTCACTCGAACCTCGGGATCGGCCGCGTGCAATCGTCGATTTTTCTTGCCGTAACCTAAGACCTGGCATCCGGTTGTCCATGCTGCTACGTCAGTGCGCTCGTGCGAATCGAATGGTCTTATAGCTCCGTCTCTTCGGTCCACACAAGCAGACATCGTCAAACAGAGGCTGCAACGAGAATGACGAAGCACAACACCAGTGACATCGCACACAGCATCACACGAGCATTGCACTTGACAGCTAATGATGCATCATATTTGCCAGCACTTTGTACCATAGCTAAGTCTGTACGATGACACTTGTAAGCTTCATACTTTCCTGAGACTTGTTATGCGTGCTAGTTCTGACTACATACGCGAGCAAAGTGCGATCGTGACTCTGTCGAACTTGTAATCTTTGGATAAGCACTTACAAAGGCAAACGTGTATCAACATGACAACGATGCGCGTGCCTTGCTCAAAATTTTAACGACTTGTGCTGTTGCAATGTGAGAGACCAAGGTCGGATGCCTTTTGTATGTAACACCACTGCAGCTCACAAGGTAGCTTGTAGTCTGCGTGCCGCACGTCGCACAACAACCTTGTTCGTATTCCTCCTTCATCGTGTTGGTTGTCGTCATGCTTCGTACCATCCCACGATGGCTGAGTCTGAGCGAAGTATAACGAAAGCGCAGCCTTTACGACAACATCAACGACGTCACGCACTTTCGATACTTACCGCAGTTGCAACATGAACATTGGACGGTACCAGCGAAACGTAGTGCGCGAATATAGCATTGTACGAGCCTTTACCAACCATGAAAGTGGTCGACTACGACCACTATCATGGTTGGTAAAGGCTGCGGCGCTATGGGTACCGGAACAACCGAGTACAGTGGACTCGTTTTACAGCGATATGGTTTGGCTCAAAAAGGCAACAACATTAAGTCTAGATTGATTTGCCAAACTTCTTTTGCTATCACGCATCCCACCGCGATCGTGATGGGCTCGGTCGAAGATCACGTTGGCACCCGCTTCTTTTGCATATGCGGTACGGAATAAACTACTAATGGAGACGGCACTTCGTACTTGAGCTCGTGTGACTGATATCGATCCTGATTTCGATGCAGGCAGCACCACGACTCTGTCTGAAAACGTGTCGACTAAAGAAGCTCAAGTCGCAAAAGTGATTGCGCTAACTGCTTCGCATTGCAAAACGCGTATCTGAGGAAAGAATGATGCAAGCGTGTGTGAAGCCTGTCGACGCATCGGAAACATAGGTTGACGTGCGTGCTGCCATCGTGATGGTGATGCGGTACAAGATCTCGCTTAATACGGCGTAATCATTGAAGCCACTACCGACAGTGATAGCCCAGCTATGCGTTGTATAGTGTGCATACGCATACGCATGCGTGTATCGTCGACCAATGACCACCTTACTGACAGTGGAACTGCAGCTGAACGGTTCGCGGAGAGGTCCAACCCACGCAAAACAGCGAGGCACTTTCGCGGGCATCGACCCGGGTTCTTAAATCCTACCCATCCTTCTTTTTGCCGCCCGGATTCGTTCAAGTCCCACTGCATAAATCATTTTTCTTCATTGGCTGTCAGGCCACGTTGGACATCGTATATACCGCCTCGGTCTTATATTGTCGCAATTGGGTGCACTAGATTCGCTGTCGAGCGACGCTTCTAATGATCATTAGGGTATCAATGTGAGCTCATGATAGCCACGACCTACTAGAACGATCCACAATGACTTATAAGAGCGTCTGCTGAACTAGATCGTTGTGTGCAGGCCCAATCATTGCATTCTGATCAGCTTTCTACGGTGAGCCTCACTGGCTGTGCACTTTATCCAGTTTTTGAAACGGCTCAACGATGAAGGATCGTGTCAACGATATGTGTTTGTCACGGAGAGCTCTTGACACAAAGCTGAAACAACCACGACGACTACGTTGTGTAAATCAACACTCATACATAAGCTCGAGGTGTCAAGAAGTCTCTGGACAGCTTTAGCCTTTCTGACGCAGCGATAATCGGGCTAGTGTTTGGCTGTTTATGCAAACAGATGCAAGTAGAAGAAGGATCGGTTCAGTGTTCGATAGCCAAACTCGAGGGATCAGATGGCGGTAGATGCAGAAAGTAAGATAAGTTTGGTGGGCACAAATACGCTGGCACTGACATTACACGATAAGAGATGTACATGTGATTACTCGTTGCGTCAATTTAGACACAGTGGTATCGTTCTTCCAAGCAATTTGCCGATGTTATCAAGGCCTGTCCATGCATACCGGATATCAGTCGAAAAGAGACATTGCATGTGTACGAGGTCGACAAATGCAGTCGTTAAGTACTGTATTGCCACAATCCAATGGCTGCCATAACCTACTTAGCACACAAAAATGATCTGCACGTCGCTTGGGCTCAGGTGCTACAACCTACCTTACGATGATGTCTTCACACGTATGCAAAGCTAGCTCTTTAATCAAAGAGGGTGATTTTATCGTTCGAATGACAATCTGATGGTCTTTGTCTCTTGCATGTCGCAGTGTCCATTTCACCCCTAGCAAAATGGTCAGCAGCCATTAAGGCAAGCCTGGAATTTTCTATCTGTAGTTATTCTAGCTTCCTCTTCGCTTGCCACGATCCATCATCACTACACCTCCATGCTTGATAGCAATATTGGGAGCACAGACTTGATCAGTCACCGTAGTATGTGTTCATGCAAGTATGTCGTTCTCATTTGGCCGTTGTCACAGTACTGTTAACAAAAGTCAGAGCGGTCTGGTCGAGAGTATGCGCCCGGCAAGTGTTTTACGAGAATGTCGTGGTGTATCATTGTTGCACACACTACACAGCGTTGTTCGTTTCTTAACTAACGATTGACAGTTCTTTAAGAAGTCTAGGCGAAAGATGGGCTGTGTA